GCAATTTCACGGATGTCGAGGCGGTGGTGGGTGGTCGAAGAGGGTTAAAAATTTGAAAATGCAAACAGTATAATAAATGAACTTCTTTATGCATAAATGTTAAAATTTCTGTGGTTGATTTGCCGGATCAACAATCCTCTTCGTACGTGTTGCTAGTAAACGCTTCTTTTTTTTTACCATTATTGTATTATGTATAAAACAATAACGCGCGTCAGGGGTTCGAATCCGGAACGTCGCGTTTAAAGTCGGTCATCTAGTCATTTGCGCCCACGGTCCGTGATTTGCGTCAATCGGACGGAAGTGATGGTTTTCGTTTATGCTATTATGAATGCAACAATTCCCTATTACGTGTAATTAATGGTTCATTTATTTTATTTATATTTATTTTATTGCTGCCAGACGCAGACGCTCGGATGTGTTATTAGGTAGGTACTTATTAGCATATACATAAATATCTTATATCCAAATACCAACTAAAATAAAACTGTTTAAAAAATGTGCCACTAGATCTCCTACTAAAATAATTAATCCAACAACTTGAAATATCGTAGTAACATTTTTCCATCCCGTTAGATCATATTGTATTACAATCCATTTATTTAAAACTATTACAGAGTATACCCGGAGATGATGTATAGGTATTGTGTAGGTGGTAAGTTGAATACAGAGATTTTATTGTTCGATAGTAAGAAAGTTGGTATTAGAAATGGGCCTTTGATAAAATAGTTGAATTCGCTTTCAACGCAATTGAATTAAATCACACTTTGTTTGTATTATATCACCGTAAAACAGAAGCCTTGTAATTGATTTTCCATTTGCGATTAACAATTCACGTTACCGTGTCAATTTGGAAGGGATCGGGATGATTGAAATATTGAATATACCCGTTACGGATCTTAGAAAGTGAGCAAATTGTAAACTATAGGTAACTCAATTAGATTGTTTTTTTTTCTGCGAAAGCATACCCATTTGCCATTTGCTTCATTTATTAAACATTTATGGCCATTGCACCGACAAATTTTAGCTTATACGCTATGTCGCTATAGTTATTTTTCTATTCCAAGGACTACTTTATTTCCACTCTATATTCCTCTATACAATCTGTCCTATTTCTGTTTACCTTAGATATATCAGTTCCTAGAAAAAAATAGCATTTTGCGGAATTCTTAGCTGACTTCTATTACAATTTTAAATGTAGGTACCCTCATTTTCTTTTCATATTTAAGGAAAACGAAAATTTACCGATTTTATTGTTTTTTTTTGTGTAGGTGGGGAAATGCTCCTTATGCACATTCTGGAAGGAAGTTCCAGAGTAGTGTGAGGCTCTCCCTTAGAGTATACTCACTAAAACCCCACCTAAGGCTTCGGCTACTAAGGCCATTAGCCTATCACCCTTTTCATTGTGATCACAGGTCCTTCCACTTCAACAATCAAAGTTGGTTGAAGATTCCAGCGACTCGCATAAAAGTTAACACATTCTTGCAGTGATCATGGCTACTAAAATTGTTTTCCCATATTTCATCAACTTTCAATGCATCACACAGGTTTGTGTATTTTACACAAACACAAAGTATGTGTTCGGGTGTCAATTCGACACCACATCTATCACATGACGGTTGTTCTCCACCTGCCAACAAAAAACCATGCGTGATAGCGGTGTGTCCCAACCGAAGCCGATACAGCTTTGTCAAATCAACTCTACTCAAGTTGGGTAAAAATAGTGCTCCTAGATTTGGTTTTACTCTTTTTAATGATGTATCGGTCTCCGTCCACATCTCCTGTCGGCGCTCAAAAACACAGTTCTTTACAGCTACCTTCGTGATATCTAATATATCATCATTTTGTAACTGCATCTCCTCTATGCACTGTCTTGCTCTTTCTCCTAGCGATCTATATAACCGTGTAGGTCTGGTTCTACCAGTAAGTAAATTATAATTGGGGTGTTCATCATTCAGACATAGGTACTTTATTGTTGGTGAACAGCGTGAAAACCATATTAATTTCCCATTGTATACCTTATACGTTAACAATCAACCCCAATAAACTACCAATATTACCAACCATAAAAAATAAAACAATAGTGGTTATTTTTTTAGCATCATAGGGTTTGTCTTAAAAAGTGTCTTCGAAGTATACAAGTTTAAACAATGAGAAATTAACGGTTTTCAAGATGTTCACCAAAAAACTAAATGATAAAAACACGAAACGGAATTACAGTAAAAATGTAATTTGAAATCACCTCATAATTTTACACAACATAGCAAATTAAGGTTATTCTACACGCAAATTAATTAACTGCATTTCTATACAGCGTTAGGAAACTTGCCAGTGTTTATTACGAATGCGACAAAATCATCACTAAGTGGAGGAATTATAAAAAAACAATATGAAACGTTTTGCTCATAACGAAGGCACCCATGGTGAGCATCGAAGCTTGAAGACACTGCATATACAAAGATCTTTGTCACTGGTTTGTTGAAGTACATTATACATTAATTGTGGATTTGTAAAGGTAAACGAGAATCTGTGCCATCACCTAACATCATATTTGATAATAAATCTTAATTCGATTGCGGCTGTGTGCGACAAATAGAAACCTCAAATATTAGTTTGTGAAATACTGTTTCAAAGGGTGTGCGGTAAATTCGCCCCGGAAGACTCGCCCCGGTAAATTCGCCCCGGAAAATTCGCCCCTGGAATATTCGCCCCCAAGTAAATTCGCCCCCGGAATATTCGCCCCCAAGTAAATTCGCCCTCAGAATATTCGCCCCAAGTAAATTCGCCCCCAACAAATTCGCCCCCGGAATATTCGCCCCGACAAATTCGCCCCCGTAGCATTCGCCCCATAACATTTATTAACCCTCGGAAGTAATAGGTTGGTTTAAATTAATTAAATAAATTTTTGCAAAAATGACGATATTTGGAACTCAATACGGCGAGACTGACAACTCGAAATTGTTCATATTCAATCGTTTTTCACCTGTAGAAGGCTGATTCAACGGTTCAACGTCAACCGTATGTTTACAATACATTTTACAACAAATTGCGTTTACAAAGGAGTCTATAAATACTCAGCCATTTATGGATGTATTGAAATGTTTTTGGCATCAATGTATAAACAAAGGACGATTCTTTCTTTAGACTTACATTTGAAAATTGGTCCAGATTTGATGTAAATTTGTGTTGAAAAACACCAACATTGATGAAGTTTGCTGAAGTATCAAATCATAATTAAAATAATCTAAAAAAATTTAACTCGAAACATCCCATTTCTTTAAAATATAAAAAAAAGTTTGCTTATATATTTATTAGTTAAGTAGTAATTAGTCTGCTATACGGTACTCTTGTACTCGTTCCAAATTCAGCCCGTCGGATCACCCTTAAATTTGAGAATTTTGGTCAAAAATGTGCAAATGCCATAAAAGTTTTAAAATGTCCAAAGTATCCACTAGAGATAAAAAAATGTTGAACGTTGACCATTTACCAAAAATTTAGTAAATACTTTGTGTCCTACTATTATGTAAGTATAAAAATGACAATACGGATTACTGATGACATAAGAGTTCCTTTTTTGCTGTTGTCACTTTGATTTTCAGATTTTTGTATTTACTTTATTCAACCTTATCTTAATTACCTATTCATATTTTAGTTAACAGGTATTTGAGTGCTATTATTCTACCCCCTTTATATACACAGTTATTACAAAAAAATTAAAATTAAACAACATTCATTTTATGAACTGCTGGCCCTGTTACCTCCAAGGATTAATAAATCTTATGGGGCGAATCCTAAGGGAACGGAATCACCGGGGGCGAATTTGTCGGGGGCGAATTTGCCGGGGGCGAATTTTCCGGGGCGAATCTTAGGGAGGCGAATTTACTTGGGGGCGAGTTTTCTTGGGGGCGAATTTTCCGGGGCGAATCTTTCTGGGGCGAATAGTCCGGGGGCGAATTTACTTGAGGGCGAGTTTTCTTGGGGGCGAATATTCCGGGGGCGAATTTTCAGGGGCGAATTTACCGGGGCGAATTTTCGGGGGCGAATCATCCTACAATCGTTTCAAAGTCATTCAAATTTTAGACATTCATTACAAAGAACCTAAATGAAAATTTCCATCTTACGCGTTAAATTAATTACACTTAAGTGTTCAGCCGTAAAGTTGATAATTTCCCTACACTCGCGGTTATAAGATTTTATAAGCTGGGGGCACGTGACTTTGCGTTTATTATACATTTTATGTCTTACTAACCTATAATAGCACATTTTATATCTGTGATACGCGGGAATAAAGTACCACTTTATGCCCTAGGGCATTAAGTAGCACCATAGTAACTCATTTATACTTAATGAAAAAACAAACAATATTTGCAGGTCATTGAAAATTAGAAACGTCAATTATTGATTGTCAATATCTACTAAATCACAAGATTGGCTTTATTTCGTATAGTTGCTGGAACTTCTTCCTCATTCACGATGAATTGAATTATTTAAAATTACGTTTGACGTTTGGATGGTTTCAATGACATTAACAAATTTGAACCACGCATATTCGATCAAACATAATGAATTATTTTGTAAACGAATTTTGACGAAGAAAACTATTTGTAAAACATAAAATTGTGTATGTACCACGGGCATAAACTGACGTTTATACTCTCGGGCGACTAAAAAGCTCTCGGGCCATAGGCCCTCGAGCTTTTTAACTCGTCGCCCTCGAGAATATAAACATCGCTATTATGCCCTTAATACATAAATAACTATTGCTATAAAGATGGTACCGTTTTACTACACCTCATACAGTACATTACATGAAAATATTACCCTAGAGTCTAGAGAGACATTGTAATAGCTGAAGCGTCCGGTTGTAGGTGGTTGAGCTCGAGTTTTAAATTATTGCCGAAATTATTCACGCATAATTAACCCATTCTATAAAATTCATCTTTGGTGATCGCAACTTCTTGTTTCAGGTGCGACATGAGTTCAACTAAACTGGACTTGGAATTATGCAAGACCGTGGATCTACATTTTATGAATATAATTATGCAACCGATGAAGATCAAATGAAAAGATCTCTACTTACAAACATTAGCGAGTCGCCAATAATTACGAATGTCACTTTACCAAGTCAAGTGTCTTCAAGATTTCCAATTCTAAGCTACGAAGTTAGTGATTGGGGACCTAAACGCGATTCGCTTTATGTTGTTGTACCGATTACTTTACTTTACGTTGCGATATTTATTACGGGATTGTTAGGAAATATTTGTACTTGTATCGTTATCGCTCGTAATAAGTCTATGCACACCGCTACGAATTACTATCTATTTAGCCTAGCAATTTCGGATCTACTGCTTTTAATATCTGGCTTGCCGACAGAAATCTATTCAACATGGTCAAAGTACCCTTACGTATTTGGGGAAATATTTTGTATCCTACAAGGGTTTGCCGCAGAAACGTCGGCGAACGCCACCGTATTGACCATTACTGCATTCACGATAGAACGCTACGTTGCTATATGCCACCCCTTTTTGTCTCATACAATGTCAAAGCTTTCTCGGGCGGTGAAATATATTATTGTTATTTGGCTACTCGCGATGTGTTTAGCTTTACCGCAAGCAATGGCTTTTGGCATTTTTTATGAACAATACCCGGATGGTTATGGCACATCGAACGATCACTACGTTTGTACAGTGAAACGCATTGTGATTCCGCATGCTTTCGAAATTTCAACCTTTGTATTTTTTATTGCACCGATGACAGTAATCACAATCCTTTATGTTCTAATCGGAATTAGAATACATAAATCAACGAGTGCAAGGAATCGCGACGGAAGCATAAAACTAAAACACTATAAGAACAAAACGTGCGTTCAAAGTCCCAACAAGAAGATGAAGGTGATGTTAGGCTCAAACAGTGACAATATAAAAATAATGTACGAGGACGCAGGGAGGAAGAACTACTCCAGAAATTCGCAAGCTTCCAAGCACGTGGTAGAGATGTTAGGTGAGTTTGAATATAATTAATAGTAAGATTATGATTTGTGGTCACTATAGGTGTATTATGTCGAAACGTTACTTAAATTACAAGCTGAGAGGTTAAGATAGCGGTAACGTGGCAACTGAAAAGTTTCCTCATGACCTGCCACTAACTCCCATTAATCTGTCTCGTGTCCTACGGAAGTGGAAGTGGTGCAATTTTCATATAACATTAGATAGCTGGGATAATTCCTAACTAATGCATTTAGTTCAAGTTTTAAATGAAAGCTATATGTTTCATCTCAAGAGAAGATATTTCCGTACTTCTTGTATGTAATGAGACATTACTTTAAAGTACAAAATACCGTGTTATACATCAGTCAGTCTCACCTAAATCAGCAGGAAGTGACGGATAGAACACCCGTTGTTGAAGTAATACTGTTAAACCACATATGCCCAAATGAAAATTATGGAAAAAATTCATAAATGGGCGAATTTTCTAAAGTTTGTCTTCCTTTTCTAATTTTGATTTATCGGCCAGATGCAGGTTTTGTTTTATTTGTAGGTAAGTGTTGCGAGGCATGCATTCTAATACAAAGGGCACACCCATGTGCTACGTTCACTTTGTGCAAATGCGACAAAATTGCCTTAGATAAGCACACGGTAAGCTCAGGCCAGGGCTCAGGCAAAGTAGAGGTGGGTCGGGGCGAATATGTGGGGTGCTTATATACAAGCACAAATAAGCAAAGAAAGGAAACAGTGAAAGTAATCCGGATAGTCTTCAATCAATATTAAGAGAGAGGGGAGGAATACTTACCAAAAGGGTAAACAATGCAGACTAGGAGATCTTGATTCTCGTCTTGCTAAACTAAAAGGGATGCAACACTTATAGGGAAAGAAACATAAATAATATTTGATGTCACAAATGATGGTGGTTTAATGCAATGGTATTAAAATATCGCAAATAGGACACTGTAATATACAGGGTGATTCCTATAGTACCTGCCACCGTTTGGGAGCGTATAGGGGGTGCCTAGGGGAGTATTTTGATATAGGACACTTGGGGTCGGAAATCCAAAATAAGGGCGCCAGAACCAAATTTATCTTCTGGAATTTCACGCCTGTATGTAGGCAACCCAACCGGCCGGCGGTGCACACGGAGCGATCTCAGGCGGCGATGTGTACATTAATTATAGGTATTACACTTCACCAGAATAAAGCTTATTTTTAATTAAGGTTTTGAACTGTGCTAGCGACATAGATGAAAAGTTAATTTTTAGTTTGTTTAGATAAAAAGCTATTAAATAAGAGAAGGACCTTTTATATAACTGAAGATTGTGCTTAGGGATTGTAATAAGTAAATCCTTTCTTCGTATATTAATATTATGAGTGTCAGTTCTGAACCGTATTTTGTTAACCAGAAATTGTGGGCATTTATTGACAACTATTTTATAAAAAGTGCAGTAGCAATGCAGCTTCCTTCGATCTTCCATTTTCAACCAACCTGCCTTACTAATGTAATGGGAAATTCCTTCCCTTCTTCTGACGCCAAATATAAACCTAAGACAGGAGTTTTGAACGATTTGAATTCGTCTTATTTCACAGAAATCCAAATTTGAACTGTAGACGACATCACAATAATTAAAATTCGATAAAATGAGAGTATCGCAAAGCAACTTTTTTAAATGTTGATTTAATGAATGCCTATGAGAATACAACAATTTCAGCGTAAAATATGATTTTTGCATTAATTTTGAGATATGCAACTTAAATCGCAAATCTGAATCCATAATGAGCCCAAGATTTTTAGCACTATCCACAAGTGGGAGTATTGTACCGTTCATGGATACTCGAGTGAGATTTATTAACTGTAGTCTATTCCTCTTACTCCCAAATAGCATAACTTTACATTTATTAGAGTTTAAGGTAAGATTATATTTATTAGAATTTGTTGACAATTGTTGGAGGTCCAGATTTAGATTGTTTACTGCGCTTTGAAATTCACTTTTAGGGAATGAGATATAGATCTGAGTATCATCTGCAAAAATATGGACTTTGGTATGCTTTATGTCCTTATATAAAAACGCGGTGTAAATCGTAAAAAGTAGGGGACCGAGTATGGAACCCTGAGGCACTCCCGACTGTACTGTAACAGGACTTGATTGATTATTTCCCATGCACACGATCTGTTTTCTATTACATAAATAGCTACGAAAAAATGCAACTGCTTCAGCGTTAAGACCTAGGTAACCTAAAATGGACCCAAGCAGAGAATGATTCACAGTGTCGAATGCCTTTGAATAGTCAAGAAGCGCTAATAATAAACAGTTACCTTGATCCACAGCTTTTAATATATCATCAACAATATCGAGAAGTGCTCCAGGGCAACCATACCCAGCACGAAATCCAGATTGCGTAGCGGGGAGGACATGAAGTTGATTAATATAGTCAGTCAACTGCGCAACAATAACTTTTTCCAGTAATTTTGAGAGGGCAGGTAATATACTTATAGGACGAAGGTCGGATATACCACTAGGTGATGCCACTTTCGCAATAGGTTTAAGAAGAGAACACTTCCACACAGAAGGTACGGAATAAGATTTTATGCAATAGTTTATAATATAAGTTATATATGGAGTTAGAAAAGGGCAACAATGTTTTAACATAATTATACTGATGCCGTCCACGCCAGTAGCATTAGATGACACTTTAAATAATATTTTGGTAATATCTTCCTCCAAAACTTCGGAAAGAGTGAAACAACTATTTGGGTTAAATTTATTACTGCTATAGTAATCCAAGAGTTCGAAATCAGGTATGCAACTGCGTTGCGTTGAAGAAAAATACATATTAATTTCATCTGCATCTGCAAAATTTGTAGGAATATAATTATTCTTCTTGCTCAATAATTGGAGTTGATTCAGTTTCTTCCAAAGTTGTTTAGCATTGCAGCTTTTTACTACTTGGGTTAAGTAGCATTTCTTTTCATTGCGAATTGCGGTGGTTGTGAAATTTCTAAGTTGTTTGTAATAGTCCCAGTGAGCAACGTTGGAAGTTCGTTTGAAGCGTTTAAAAGCAGAGTTACGAAGTGATATCATACGTTTAACGTTTTCCGTAATCCAAGGTTTGGGATCACCAAACTTACCCTTATGTGGGCACATAGGTGCATGCTTATCAAATAAAGAAAGCATATTACTATTGAAAAAATCGATTTTATCGTCTAAATTTGAAATATCAAACATATGATACCATGGTATTGCAAACAAATCATTATTAAAAGAGGGTAGGTCAATTTTGTTGAAATTGCGATATATCAAAGTGGTTGGTGTAACTATCACATCAAGAATAAAATGACAATAATCAAGAGAGTGATCAGCAATATCATGCACTGGAACAACTCCACTATTCGCTACAGAAACGGCATCTCCAGCAATAATAAAATCAATTAATGTAGACGAGTGAGGAGCAATTCGCGTGGGTTCAGTAATAATTTGCAATAAATTAAATGAGTTCAAGGTATCGACTAATCTGGTATAGTAATGGTTATCAGGTTTAAGCCCATCAACGTTGAAGTCCCCCATACAAAATAATAAATCATAAGTTGGAACAAAATGTGCAAAGGAATCCTCAAACTTTAATAAAAAATTAGTAAAACTACCGTTCGGTCTATAGATAGTACCAAAGCACAGTTTCTTATTATTGATTTTAATTTGTACCCACAGATGTTCTATATCGTCACACACTTCATGACTAACAACTTGACACTGAAATACCTGTTTGACATAGATACCAACCCCTCCACCTCTAGATGCTCTTGATATATGGAATGATATTGGAATTTAAAATAATCTTTAGTAAAACGGGAATCAACACGTAGTCGGGGAAAGTATGCTTCCGCAGAAACAACGGAGCTATAATCATTAAATGAGTTTCAAACAAAGTAATAATCATAAATCGCAATAGTATCGAAAACCAAAATGTAATCAAACGTTAAAAGGGAAAAACGACGAAAATAACTAAATTTACCTTTGAACTTCCGGTAGCAACCTGTTGAGATCAAGAGGACGTGAAACTGCAAACCTGTAAACAGACAGACACACACAAAAAATAAGAGGGGTAATGATGTGCGTTGCACAATATATCGCATAAGCAATGGTTAACGTCCGACACGAGGGGTTATTCTTATACGTAGAATTGCAATCAATACTCAAATATTCAAATCACTTTGCGACAAAAAAAAATTTGGTTCGACTAAGGGTTGGTCCTCACAATCGGTATGAGGAATCAAAAAGTGGCATAAAATTTTAAGAAAAATACTATAAAATGTACAAACAAATAAATCTTTATTCAATACCAAAGCAATCTTATTAATTCAAATGCAAACAAATTTACAGGAGCAAGTTCTTCGGAGAAAAATACATAACATTAATTAAAAATTGTAGAAATTTACTTCGGACAAAGTCTCGTTAATTTTAAGAAGTAGATCACAAGCAAAGGTAGTTAATATGAAGGATAACATCCAGTACACTAACAAAAATTAATATCGGAGTAACAAAAATATGATGTCGTCAATCTTAGGTGATGTTATCGTTAAAATCAAAACTTCGGAACGACGAAACTAAAACGTAGTAATGGGATATAAAGAGTCATTCTTAACGAGCGTCAGTCATAAAGATATGGAGAACCTCTGAAAATGAAAGTAAACTGATAAGTTCCTCAAGGGTTTTGGCACATGAAGAATTGAACTAAAATATTTTCAAGATGGAGTCACTTCCGCCAATACCGGAAGTATCCATCAACTTTGTTATTTTAAATAGACCCCCTATTTTGTCTACATTTTCGGATTCTACCTCGAATTTGGAGTACAACGATACCCCGTAGTTGACCCGTTACCCCAAAGGCTTCGTCGATATTAAAGTTTCTATGTCAAAAATTGAATTTCCAGGGGTAATTTATTATTGGAAAACGGTAAGAGATATTGCAAATAAGGAAATATCGAATTTTCTGTAGTATGCGTACCCGTGTAAAAAAGTGAGAGTACTAAACTTTAACTCTAAACTTTTTTAAATTTTTAAATTTCTGTTACTCCATTTTTAGCGTATTTTCCTGAAAGTGTAAAATCACTATTGTCTGCACTTTGACGTCCGCCCGTCCGTCCGTCTGTTCGTCACACGTACTCCTTCTAAACCACTAGACCGATTTTGGCGATATAGGACTCATTTGAAAGGGCTTGGTTCAAGTATTTCGGCGTACCCATATTTTTTTGGTTTTGCGCATGCGCAGTGTCAAAAATTTGGTTTAACACATGTGCGATGCTAACTTGTTTATTTATGAAAATATTTCAATAAAACTTTATATGTAAATACTACGAATATAAGTAAAATTAACGACGTTTTCAAAATGCGCAATGCCAACTTTCTTATTTATGAAGGCATTTATATGAAATTTTATACATGTAGGCATTTGGCATAAAGACAAATCTAACACCAGTTGCAAAATTTGGTTCTCCGCATGCGCAATGCCATCTTCTTTCTTTATGAAAGCAGTTAAACGAAATATCATAATTATGTAGGCACCTTGAATGAGACTAAAACTAATACCGGTTTCAAAATTACTGTTAACGCATGCTGTATGTTTAATTTATGAAGGTATTCAATGAAATTTCTAATGTAGACAATGCCCAATGCTATTTAGGAAAGCATTTATAAAAAGTTCCATATGTAGACACTTCGAATAAAAGTAAAACTAATGCCCATTTCAACATTTGTATGTATTTGTATACGCTCCACTATTTTTCATTAACGACGATAGGCGGCTCATTTGAAAGAGAATGGGGTATGGATCTCGTGCCTACCGGTATTTTTTCCTCATTAATATTATTAGGAGGAGAATACGCTCTCGTCATTTATGTTTGCATAATTACTTTTAAAACTTGTTTCGAATGGCACCCTCCATTTTTTTCTTTACTATTTTCCTTTTTTCCGAGACCTTCAATTTGATATATCTCAAAGGCTGCTTCAAACCGTTTCTGAGATATTCCATGTTTTAGTTACTTCTTGTAGCAAATTGATGAAATTAAGTCTCTTTTGAATATCCGTGGATTGGATTTGCAGCAAAATAAGCCAGTACAGTTATTTTTTGTTCTTCAGAGTCTACCACAGACTTCCTTTTTTTGTATTTTTGTTTGTCTATACCGTTATCCCTGCCATTTTTGTAGTAATTTGCGAATTGTAGCCTCTGTTGGTCACACCTTTTCAGGGTATCTTTCGAAAAAAAGGCGGCAAGTCCTGATCGCTATTCGATTACATTCACCGTGTATTAATGTTAAATTCATAAAATCTTCATTAGTGTAACCCAAACGATTAATTATTGACGAGAAATAATTAAACAAAGTTAAAAGTTAAAAACTGTTCAAGAAGCGAAAATTTGACGTTTAGACGTTATCATAATAAAAACAAAATAATCAATTTGCTACAAGAAGTAACTCATGGAATATCTCGGAAACTGTTTGAAGCAGCCTTTGACATTTTGTATCAAATTAAAGGCCTCGGAAAAAGGAAAACAACAGCGAAGAACAAAATGGGTGGTGCCATTTGAAAAAATGGAGTTACGGATATTTAAAATTTGAAAAGTTGAGAGCTTTGAAAAAGTGAAATAGTCTCACTTTTTTAGGCGGTTAACATAAGAAAATTTGATCTTTCCTTAATAAAGTAGTGAAAACTCTTTTGCAATATCTCTTACCGTTTTCGAATAATAAATTTTTAAATTTACCCCCGCAAATTCAATTTTTGACATTTATTTATTTATTGATTTATTTATTTATTTTAGTCAATTCGTCATGTGCCAAAACCAGGGCCAAAACCCTTAAGGGACCTATCACTTTAGTGTTTTATTTTCAAAGGTTCTCCATATCTTTCTAACTGACGCTCGTCAAGGTTGACTCTGTATAGTACCAACTCCACACATCTCGTTATATAGGTACTTTGCGATTAAGGTTTCGGAGTAACAATCGGAACGTAGGTCAACGAACTTCGTATAATTGGGTCACCAGTCCAATTCGGTTGTTTAATTTCGCATGAAGTGGCGGGTAATTCTTCAGTCGATAAGGTAGAAATATCTATGGCGGTGAAATTTCAATGGAATGATCCTTGCACTATATATGTATGTCGAAAATCCAAAATTCAGCGTTTCCATCTTAGAAATATCGTTGTTAACGGCACAATCACGTAGATAATCAGGAAGCAATGAGTAAATCCAAAGTAAGAAGTAAAAAGGTAGAAGTTTGGCTGTCTTAATTTGGACTGCATACATTCCGAATGTTGGTGGGTTCAGTTTCTTGTTGAAACTTCTAAGTGTTTTGCTAAGTGTTTTGCTTGCAAAAAATAGTAGGTAGTTCATACGATGCCGTTTATTAGTAGATGATATCATAGCAAGTCTCTGATGATATCGGATTATATGAAGCTATCATGAATGATAGAAGGAAAAAGGACAGATTAGACCCTAATAACGCTCAGCAGTTTCCATTAATTCTGAGGAGCGTTTCAATAAAATTATATGAGGGATGAAGTGCAGTAGTGAACGAATAATGATTTAATACCACACATTCTGTATTTTTGGCTGATTGTACTTATACGTACGTAAATGTCCTGGAATACAGAGAAAATTAAATTAAATTACTTTAATGTACCTATATGTATGTATATCTATGGCCCGTATGAATAAAAATAAGCAAATGCTTATACTTGCAAAATTCAAAGTAAATACTCATAACTGCCCCTTCATACTGGTCTGCTTAGCAGCGCTGCATTGCGTCCTGTCCTTCTGCTTAGAATCGCTGCTCAGTCGCCCAGTGCGAAGGAGCACTTACGAGTATTTACTTTGAATTTTGCAAGTATAAGCATTTGCTTATTTTTATTCATACGGGCCAATGTTTAGATGGACTTACAGACTTGATTATTTCACGCCAAAATATCAGCGCGTGGAGTTTTTTTTTTGTAAAATCCTTAGTAGCATTCAAATATTAACGACGTGTAGGTAGGTACCAATATAAAACTCAAATAATTGCTTTTGCTTAATGAGCAGATAGCGGAGCGATTCTAGTTTGAAACAGTGTGAAGCCGCGATAAGATATTAGAAGATCGTAATTTAGATAGATGAAATCAAAAACGTTAAAAGTGAGGTTAAAGGCATCATGATTTAGATTAATGTTAATTAAAAAACCGTTGAAAATACAGAAAACTAATTAAGTAACGCGCGTTAAACGGAATTGTAAATCAGAAGAAATCGTGTTGCTTACAGAACTTTTCGTTAACGTGATAAAAGTGGAAATGAAATGTCCTGCTGGAAAAGGCTTTTGACCTAGATTTCCAACAATCCCAATCAAAAGTTAATTGCAAAAATGGATTTTGACAATTACAGTTACATTGATATATAGGTACATTAACTGTAACAGTCACATTACACTGTTAATTAAATATTCAATAACTAGTTAAGGTACACTTTTGCAATGATATTTATGTGCTTCCTAAAAATGGATTCCATGTTCATGAGCCATATTCTAGATTTGACCTAGCAAAGTACA